GCCCTTCTCCCGCCGGCAATGGAAGCTCCTATCCCGCTCGACCTACACCCGCTCCTCTCTGCGACTGGATCGAAGCCCCTGGTCGAAGCAGATCTGCTGCCCGCTCGATCCCGCTCTCCCTCTGCGCTCGACAGACCCTCACTCGCTTCACCCCTCGCTTCACCCGCTCGATCCCCAGTCCTCTTCATTCGTGCGACCAGAAGCCCTCCGTCACCTCTTTCCTCGTCCGACAGTTTCGGCCTCCCCTCATTCACGAATCGAAACCCGCGACCTCTCTGTTCGGAAGCTCCCATCGAGGCCCTCGTCCTCCTCTCACGCGGCACCCAGCTCGATTCGACCTCCCTCTTCCTCACACACGTAGGAGAAGCTCCCGAATCTCTTCCTCACTCAACTGAAGCTGCTTGTTGCGTCCCTGCTGTGTACAAGTAAGGTAAGGTCAGGTATATTCTTCCTATTGCATCTTATGTCTATCAATATGTCAACATTTAAATACGATATGTACTTTCTCAGGAATAGTCAAGGTAGTAGGTATGTAAACATAAAAAAAAAAATTGGGTGATGGGTTTGTGAATATGTAGGGATTGAGCGATGTGCATACAAAGTCTCTTTAATTGCATTTCACTGAAATTGGGTTTTGATATGCAAACACATGTGTAGCGATTAACGTAGATATTTTGGGAACATTTGTGATTCTTTTTGAAAGCCTTAATTGTCGCATTTGGATGATTTCACATGTCGTGTTTGGGTGCTGAAATTATAGTTTAAGTCGCTTGAAGTAGTTTGTAAGTGTTGAAATTAATGTTAAGGTGTTATTTGAAGTTGTCAATCACTGTTGGAGCCTTAAGAATGCTGCTGGAGCTTTAAAAAAATTTTGGGAGCGCTGTTTGGGCTTTCAATTTGTCGTTTGGGAGCTGTCTGAGATACAAGGCTGCTGTCCACTGCTAATTAAAGGCTGATTGGGAGCTTAAGATGGCCGTTTGGTGCTGCCCGGATGTTTAGAATTGCTGTTTAGACCTGATTGGAAGCTTAGAATGACTGTTTGGGTGTTGTAGTTGTTGCTTAGACCCATGAAGTTGATGTTCGAATTCATATAGAAGCTGTTTGGGTGTTGTAGTTGTAGTTGTTGTTCGGGGTCATATAAGTGCTGTGAAAGCTTTTGGAGTGATGTTTGGTGTGTTGTTAGAATTGTAGGTGTTGTATGGGCTTACATGGTATTATTTGGAACACAAATTACATGTTGTTTGGAGCATTTGGTGGGTTAATTTTGAGGCAATCAACATATTATTTTGGCAGCCTTTTAGTGTTGATTTACATGCGGTTTAGAATTGGTTTTACAGACCCCTTTTGCCCACTGTTTTGGATTTCAATTGATTGTTATTTAAACGCTTTTAGGTCGATCCACTCGTTGTTTTCCCCCTTTACTAGTTTTGGAAGTGGGTCTGCCTCATTTTTATTTTGTTTTACTTATTTTCAAATGGTTAAGTCATAAAGATGGAGATTTATGATTTAATTAATTGGAAGATATAGAAATCTTAAATCACCTTAAGCATAAGTTAAAAAGTAGGTTTCCTAGAGTTTTAGGAGCACACACCCTAGGTGAGAGTCGATCCACCTAATTCTCAGCACATGCTTCCTAGAGTTTTAGGAGTACATACCTTAGGTGAGAGCCCATCCACCTAATCCTCAGTGTATGCTTTCTAGAGCTTAAGTGCACACCCTAGGTGAGAGCCCATTCACCTAATCCTCAGTGTAGGCTTTCTAGAGCTTAAGCGCATACCTTAGGTGAGAACCCATCCACCTAATCCTCAGTGTAGGCTTCCTATATTTTAGGAGCACACCCTAGATGAGAGTTCATCCACCTAATTCTCTGCACAGACTTCCTAAATTTTAGAAGCACACCTAGGTGAGATTCCATCCACCTAAATCTCAGCATAGGCTTCCTAGATTTTAGGAACATACCATAAGTGAGAGTACATCCACCTAATTCTCAGCACAAGCTTCCTAGATTTTAGGAGCACACTCTAGGTGAGCGTTCATTCACCTAATTTTCAAATGCATAATGAAACACGTCACTAGAGCCTGATTCACGAACTGATCTTGACACTAGACATGATGCACCTAGACGTGACCCGTGCTTCCTTAATTAAATTAACAGTGAAATTCTCTCAATGACTTAACCTATAATAAAACCCAGTGCATCGGGATTTGAGCTTGAATATTACACTCAAATTCTCCTGGCAATTGGGGAAGTTTATTAATGCCACATATGGATCATCAGACTAGGATAAGTCTAGGGTCTAAGTGGCGAGGGCGATGACGACATTGCTTATGTGTGCTTAAACAAGGGATACGAAGTGAAATTATTAGAATAGTATCTCCTACCTCAAAG